TACTAAATATTTATAATAAATCAAATACTGTGCCTGATCCGGGCTATAGTCTTCACAATTCCGTGCTGTGCATCAGAGAGTTGGACAGTGACTAGGGATGATAGAGAATTGATGCCTTTGAGTTGTGGTGCTGGAGAAGAGTGTTGAATATACCATGGACTGCTAGGAGAACAAACAGGTTTATCCTGGAGAGGGTGAAGCCAGAATGTTCCCTAGAGTCAAGGATTCTGAAGCTTCGTTGATATACTTTGGGCATGTTGCAAGGAGGGACTGGTCCTTGGAGAGGGACATCATGTTTTGCAGAGTGGAGGGGCGGCGAAGGAGAGGAAGACCTTTGATGAGATGGATCGATTCTGTGACTGGAGCGGTGGGAATAAGTGCATTTGAGATGGCTACGTTGACACAGGATAGAAGAGCGTATAGAGCTCTCGTACATAGGGTCGCTATGAGTCACAAGCGACTCGATGGCACATAACAACAACAACAACATCAGGATAAGAGGGAGGTGTGGATACAAGCTGGAATTCATCCTGCAGCACCAAGGCAGACCTTAGCATTTACCCAATTCTTGTATTGTATGTGCTGACCCCTCCCTCTTGAGTCAAACATAAGGTTTTCAATGGCAAGAGCTTAGCTTCATGTGCACAGAATTCTCTTTGTGATTTGCTCCCTGGCAATTTTCAATAAAGGCACAGGGAAGCTCGATTCAGTGATTCAGCGAGCTTCAGTTGTTTGCGTTTCCGGTCCCCTGCTTTACCTTTCTGTTTACTTATACATTCTCAGTTTTTACTCTTTACCCTAGATCAACAACACTGCTTGAATCAACGGCACCTAACAACAATGATATATAGGCTATAATGCTCACTCTCTGGGCTGAGAGCAGGTGCTTCCACCGTATTAGCTCCCTCATTTGAGGCAGGACCCCAGGTCCACCAAGAGTCACAGAGCAGGGTGAGCCTTGTTCAGAAACCCACCAGGTAGTTCTCCTGCCAGGCTGTGGTGGGTCCAGGTCTTGGTGGGGCAAGGCTGGGCTGGGGGGCCCTGAACTATGGACCCTTCTAGGAAGGTGTCCTATAACCAACTTCTGACATCAAGGTGGGGAGCCAGCTGGATTAAGGGTTCTGTAGCTTCACTCGCACACTGAAGGTGCCCAACATTGGGCTGAGTCCTAAGTCTTCACCAGTGAATAAGAAAAACGAAGGAGACAGGAGGGTGAGAAAAACCCTCCAGGCTGAGACGGGTGAGGCCAGGCTCGAGGGCAGGCTTGTGTGGGTGGGCCTGGGTCAACAACTTCCATCACCGATGGAGGGCAGAACTTCCACTCTGGAGACTCCAATATTTCTTCCAACTGTTTTCCTTGCCTCACCTGCTTGGACACCCCACCATCCATAGGAATGGTTTTCAGAGGTCATGGCTATTAGGAGGCGATGCTATGTCTTAGTGCAGGAGTGGAAAATTGCTGGCTGAGAGCTGAGAGGCAGGGGCTGTCAGAGCAGACAACAGGAGTCCTGCATGCTTAACTGGGTGGGGAGTACCCACAGGTCTCTGGATCTGGCTTTCCCGTCTGAGGGTTCATTTGGATGAAGGACTTACAACAGGATAGGAATCCTAATGCTCTCACTGTGCCTGGGGCACTGAGAGAGCCAGAGCTGAACAAAGGTGGCCTCTCCTCCACGGGCAACCACCAGGACCAAGTCCAGAAAGATGCAGAGGGTGTGTGAGATTCTGTGCCCAAATGCCACCGCCCCAGGTATGTGCTCTTTGCAAGGGTGCATCATCATGTCCTCAGAGGCAGTGATCTTTGCTGGTGGCTGGAACACCAGCTCTGAACAGTGCTGCTTAGAGCCCTGGGAAAGACTTCTCTACAGGGCTGCACCTGGTGCAGGTACAGGAGAGCAGAGAGGTGGGGCAGGAGGGAGAGAAGGTGCTTGGACAGACAGCTCAGCCTCTGGCATTGTCCCATTTTAGGTCTGGGAGTCAATCAACTAGCGGGCACCCAAGCCCCCACAGGGCTTGTCTCTGGGAGGTTCCAAAAGCTGATTACTACACATCAATGATGCAGAGTTCAGTTCAGGTCAAATTCTGCGTTCACCTACAACCAGGAGATGACAAAATAGATGAATGGGACCTAAGAATCAAATCCCTATGCACATAAAAAAAAAACCAAACCAAAAAAACTTCTCCAACAGGGTAAAAAAGAAAAAGAAAGCCACAGACTGGGAAAGAATATTTTGTAATGACATGTCTGATATAGGAGTTATATCTCCCATCAACAAACAAATGGCTAGAGAAGCTATGGTATATTCACACAATGGAATACTATGCTGCAT